CATATTGTATTTGCTTCAATTTCGTTTTATGTGTTTTTTTTTTTTAAAGGCTTAGTTAAGTCCTCCCCAATGGAAACTAGGCACCTGTCTTGTTACATCATGCTGTTACTTATGTTTTACAATACAAAACGAATGGACTTGCAATAGACAGAAAAAGAAGAAAAAAAAAAAAGAATAATTTTTCAACTTATCAGTTTTAAGAGATACAAAAGTCTGGTGCCAACTATGGACAGCAGCAAATGCTGTCACGCTAGAAGATGTTTTCTGGGAAATAGAAAAAAAAAAAAAAAAAATTGTCACTTCAATGTATGTAGGCACATGTCCCCCATTTTCTTCAACTTAACATACCTAAACTTCAAAGTTCTTCACTAACTTTCTTTTAGGAAAGATTTCAGTACCTTAAATATGCAAACTGAGTACATATATTAGAAAATTAAAAAAAAAAAAAAAAAAATAATATAATCACCTAGCCACAATCCAGAAATCACTGTCCAATCATTAAAGTATTTATGAAGCTTTACTGTGCAGACTACTTAGCCTCTGATTAAAACTGGAAAACCACTTCAGTTTTTTTTTGTTTTTTTTTAAATATTTATTCAAATTTGCATAACCAAATGTTACGAATAATGACCTGCATTGTCAAGACAGATTCTAAAATTAAAGTCATCATCAGTTATCAGTTTGCTGAAATTAGTTTCATCATTAAGAGCAATTTTAATAACCCAAAATAAACAATTAGATCTTGAATACTGATTTTCAAGACAAGCAAATCACTAGTCACCATTTTTCTCATTCAATTCATTGTACTATATTAAGCTAAGTAAATATCTAACATCAAGCAAGATATTTTGGTAATCTTATTCTTAAACAAGTTCAACAAAGGTTCAGTGTAAAATATTAATTTGCAATTCACAAGTTTTCAAACATTGTTCTCTATTACACATAAATCTAAAACATCTCTTTAAAAAAAAAAAAATTTTTCTTAATATAAGAAAATGGATCTATACATTTTCAATATAAAATCAACTTTGATAATGTTGAAACTAAACTACCAAAATGGTTGGATATGCAACCTGTTTTAGACAATTTCCTCCAACAAAATGTAATTCCAATGATATATATTTTGGTTTTATCAAAATACTTTGCTTTCATCCTTTCTTCTTTTTAAAGTGAATTGATATCAAAATGTGTTAATAAATTATGAAGAATCACAAAATGATATGCATTGTCATGTGCTAAATTTTGGAAAATAAGATGTCACTATTTTGGTGTAATACAGAATTCAGCTTTGCATAATTTAACTAAAATTAAAAGTTTGCCTTTGCTAAAATCTGCCTTATTAATCTGATGTAACATTTCTCAGATATTACAGGTTATATTAGTTGAGATGGTATTAAGTTCATTGTAGAAGTAATGTCAGAAATACCTCTCACACGATTAGCTTTTAGTCCATACATATACTCTACATGGAGGTCTGCATATACATACTAAAATGGATACTAATTATCAGTAATAGTTACTAATAGAGGCTTCAAGGTTTTACATACATGTACATAGAAATAAAAACAATAAGCAATTTAGATATGAAATTGCCAAATCTGATTTACTTTAAATCAGATTTGGCAATTTCATATCTAAATCAAAAATATCTGTCACCACAGCATTAGATAAATTTTCATTATCAATTTCAGTTTTTCAATTACTATAAAAATTCTGTTTCTCCTGAAATATTTAGGAAGATCTTAGAATTTGACCTTCCATTAAGAGGTTAAAACTCTTTATTTAACTTGACTGCACCTGAAAAGTGATCAAATTGAAGACACCTTTTCTTTCTGAAAAGGGCTGACAAAATTGTCCTTTTCCAATGATTCAATCATACACAAGAAAAAAAAAATAAAACTAGGAAGGAAAAATAATATTGACACAAAGAAATCACAGGAATTGACATTAAGTCAAATTAAAAAAAAGTTTTTAATGTAAGAGAAAATAGAAACAGGTATCACAGATGTTACATTTGCTTTCATTAGGATTCTGAGCAAGGGTAATAAATCTTTTACACTGATACTGTGTAGTTGTAATGATGTTAAAGATATAAGAAGCATACTTTTTTTTCAATAGCATGGCCCAATGGTTTCATCTTATCTTTTGTAAATGCATGTATGTAGATCATGTAAATTTCCATTAGAACAGTAACTGGTAGGATTAAGAGGAGGGGGTGTGTGTATAAAAAGGATTTTTTTTTAAAATCTAAACTAGCCTGGCTATGATAGGTTGTCTTGTCTTTTTGTAACAAACTAGTGAGAGTGTGTGTATATACATCTGCAGATATTTAAGTTTTGAAACCAAGCTTTAAAAAAATATTAAAATGCTGAGTTACTTCAAATAAAATCATAGATTATGCAAATATAGAGATTTTATAGTGCAAGTAACATCAGCCACATGCATACTGGAAATCCAGACCAAAGTGCAAGAAGAGTCAAAAATAAGTTATTTAATATAATGAAAATAGTAGCAAGTAAATATCCTTATTGTTTTCCAGTAACTTTCTTAAACGATTTTAAATAGCAACAAATAAAATCTGCAAGGCAACAGATAATTGTTGTCAATTTAGTGATACAAACCAAAAGAATCATTGAAATCATTAAACTTATGAAAATCTAATTTGCTTTGAGAAAAAATAAGTTGACAATAATGCACAATTTTTCACATTTTAGACTAATTGCTAAAATATCATCCACCCTTGTTTTTCTTCCTCCAAAATAAATCTCAATAAATAAAGATTTGATACAAAGCATCAAATTCTGATGACATTTTCTTTCTTAGCCACTGAAATAAACATTTTTGATACAGATGATCTATACATGTTATTTAATAGAAAATTAACTTTAATAGTATTGAAATTAAGCTCCAAAAATTGTCATATGCAACTTAGTTTTGATGCTTTACTTAAACAAGATGTACCAACATAGTGTGTGTGTTAGTCTAATAAATACTTTTTTATGACAGAACAATCTCTTAAATTCAGATTGTTTCATTCAAAAACTTACCAATTCAAGAGATAAAATTTAAAAAACTGTTTGATAAATCTTCTTTATATTGCAAGACTTGTTTGACCCAATTTTTCATATATGAATGATGCCATTTACAAAAAAATATAAACAGCTACAACATAAGTTTCTTTTTTTTCATCTTTTCATTAGAAAATCTAAGTCTACAAAGATCATTTTAGATCTCAAAGTCTTTCAGTTAACTAAGGTTTCAATTAAAAGTAAAAATAACTGATATTGCAATTATTCTAAGAGTTCAAATCTTTCCCATGATAGACTTCATTTTGTTCTGCAAAACTATCATATTAACTGATAATGACAGAACATTAATTTCTTATGTCTAGATTAAATGCTTATTTACATAAGGTTTATATTTTGTAGCACACTGAAAATCATTAAGCCAATAAAAGGCTTTGCTTAATTTTATATATCTTTAGGTTTTCTTAAACAAGTACAAGAAATTTTATAAGCTCAGATTGAGAAAGGACTGATCAAAAGATTGGGAAAGTTGAGGTTATGTTCATAAAAGAATCATTTATGTATGGGATTTATTTATTTGATGACTAAATTTAAAACAAACTCATTTTTTTCAACATATAATCAGAGAAAAAGTATATTGCTTTAGATTTGAATTTCAGACATACAAATTTTTATTTTTTTTAACTTTGGCCATAATGTTTCCATTCTCAAAAAAAAATTTTTTAAAATGTAAAAATTATTTTCTTAATTTTAAAGAGAGTAACAGAAATATTGTTTAAGATTTTTTTTTTCACTAGAGAGGAAAATAAAATTAATGATCTGCAATTATTGAAAGTATAGAATGTTTAAATGATAACAAATCCCTTTTAAAAACAGTTAAAAGGAGCAAAGGAAATTTTCTCGATAGTAAGACCTAATGCTGTTAAAGTTGTACAGTAAACAAATAAAAAGATTTCAACATAAATTTTAAATAAAAGGACAGAGTCTGAAAGATTTTTTTTCTTTTTCAAAAAGATAAAATTTTTAAGTACAGTTTAATCCCAAAGTTGTGACTACTGAATGATTTAACAATTTGGCAATATGCCACAATTTTAAAAAAATGAAAATGTTTAACCTAGATTTTTTCAAGAATGACCACTCCTGTGAAGGAAAAGGCAACAGAAAAGAAATAACATGACTGCTTGAGAAAAAAAAAAATGTAGAAATAATCAAGAACAGTAGGAAGATAAGAGATTTCTAATAACTGAAAATAAAATCTTGCTTCTCTAACATTCTCATCTTCAGTCATTAGAATAATTGCTTATTCACCGATTTGTAACAAGCTTTTTTTTTTTCACTCTTGTCTTCTTCTCTGCGTGATGACACCATCATTGATGCAATGATCAATTTAAATGAATACAAAAACCTAGAAATAGGTTTTTTCTTCTTACTTTCATTTTAAATCTAATTCCCCCCACCACCACCCAGGTATGGCAAGAACTGAAAATAGAAAATTAATAGCAGAAGGTCACAAGAAAAATAAGCAGCCAATTTTCTTTCTTTTAGAATATCAATGTTCCTGCAACGCTCATAATATACTGAATAAATTCAGCATTTTTTCTTTCCATCTTTTATGTATATACACCACCAGTTTCTGTAATATTTTTTTTTAATTTTTATGTTATTGAAATTTAAAAGAATGGGAATAGGAATGTCCAGTGTAGTAATTATCTTTAGCATGCTATAGCAAGGCAAATGATATTTCCATCTACAATTGGAGGGGGGGGGTCACATTGCATACAGGCTGGGCACTCAATGACTTTTTAAAAGAGCAATGGTGAACAGATAAGGGAATATAGCTGGACAATTGAAACCCATTTTTCTTTTTCTCTCCAGTCAGTGTGTGTATGCACATATCTCTCTCTCTCGATTCCTTCCATTCTTTTTAATCTTAATTTCATTGTGTTTTTGTTTAATTTTCTAGCAATTATTTATTCAGGAGGTAAATTCTTGAAGTTGTTTAAGGATCTCAGGGTCCACTTGACTCATCAATTCATTGAACATTATGTTTCCATGTAACTGTTGGCACAGTTTCAATTGAGAAAGGAGAAACTCCTTCAGGGAATATACATGCACAGGATCCTGCCGAGTCAACTGAAAGAAAACATATCATTGCAAATTACATTCTTTTCAATCAAAATAAAGTCCCAAACTAATAAAATATAGGCTCAAAAAATGCCCACTTGACAAAATAACTTAAAATTACCATCAGATGTTACTTAAATATGGGACAGGTGTATGTGCATATGGGTTTAATTTAAACAATAAGAAAAAGAAAAAAAAAAAAAAAACAGTGAGTGTTGCTCAAAAAGATTGAAAAGTACATGGGCACCTACTAAAAACTGAGCAAAAACCATGTGTTCAATGTCCAAGATTTAAAAGTCTCAAACAAAAATCCAATCAAGAAAAGACGGATCTTTACTGTGCAATTACTTTGCACATGAAACTTATAGCCATGGTAAAGATCTGTATAGCTTGTTTTGAAGACTATGTAATCACAATAAAAATGCTTAATTTTTTTGTTTTCTCACATTTGTTAAATATTCTATTATTCAAGACCATTACTATTTCAATTTTACAGTCATTAAGATATTTATCAAGTGCAGACATCTAACAAGGGGTTTTGAACAAAACCTTTTATTTTTATCTTCTATTTTTGTCAACTTATTGAACATTTAAAAAGATGACATCACAGGCATTAATCTCTCTTGAAATGGCTCATTTCCAGCTTGAAGGCAGACATCAAAACTAATGGGATTGAGACTGATGACATATCAGGATGGTGATCTGAATAATTAATTTCTCACGCCTCCTTCATTAACAATTCAGATACATTTAATTACAGGCAAAACATTCACTGTGATAACACACATGTAGATCTTGTGGTATATTGCCTAATGCACACATGCATCTATGCCATGGTTTTATTTTAGCCAATTTAAATAGTTACACTAAATCTGCCTTTTGGTACCGAGGTATGCATGTGCTTAATTTGTTGCACTTTCATCAATGGTGGCAGCATCATGGTCTCTGAAGACTACTGATTTTCAATGCTCAATAATTAGACTTGTGTATCTGCAATGTCCAGTGTGAGAGGTATGTACCAGCCTGTCCAAATGATAGTGGTAGTGTTACCCACCACACTATTTGTACTTCCTCCTTGTTCACGTAGCCTGCGGATTGACTGCTTCCATTTAAGGTGGTGCTGAGTAGGTAGCAGAGTTGATATTTAATATGAGGTCTTAAACCAAAATTTTTCACTTTCCATTTCTATATGTTTCAAATAACCATGGTAACAGCAAACTTAGTAAACCACACCCATAGGAAAAACATGGAAATAAAGTGGTGAAAGTTACAAATTCCAATGCTTTATTTCCAGCAATATATTATTCAGCTTAATAACTTTAAACAATAACTAAAATCCAAGACTAAAATCATCTTTCACTTTGGCAAATGTAAAATAATATCTATTTATTATAAGTACAAGACTTTAAAAATTTATCATAAATTCACTTAAATGTCATAAATAAAATACCTTCAGGAATATTAAGTAATATTTAATGTATGACTTGGAGCCTAATAGTAGAAATAATTATTTGTAAGTTTTCATTTTATGATTTTCCAAAACAACATTATTTTGTTATAAATTTTTAAAGAAAACTAGACAAAAAGAAAGTTTAAGCATTACCATATGCTTCCTTTTATCGTGTTCTGTATCCAGATCATCATCACTGTTTAAGACTTCTTCATCTTCCTCAATCACAAGGCAACTAAAAAAGGAAAATATTCATGGATTAATAAAATCTTTCTTTTCACTGCCAGTTATTGCAATTAACGATGAGATAAAACTTTTTAAAAATGGCTAATGAACAGAAGTTAAATTATAACAAGTTACTTTCTATAAAAAAAATAACTAAATTCTGCTTAAGGCTTTATATATAAAAAATAGTTAAACTAATTGAAGCACTTATAACTAACAGGTTATTCTGATTTCAAATCAAAAATTGGAGAAGGCAGAAAAAATGTTTCATAAAAACTCAATGTTTTTTTGTTTTTTGAAAGTAGTAAAAGAACAAAAGATTTTGGATAAAGTCTATCCTGACAGCTTGAACAGGACTGGTACACTCAAACTTTCATGATGATTTGTGATTGTGCTAGCAAAACCATCAACATCTTCCAAGCAGTTCCATCTATCCAATTTCACTCACAAGGTTTGGGCTAATTCATTGTACAGTTTTCAAGCACTTCCCAATAGTGCCCCATGCTGGAACAGTCTCCTCAGACCAATACCATCAAGAAGACACCTCCCCACACAAACTAACTAGGATCAGATTCAAACCACTGGGTTTCTTGATTGGATTACTAACATTCTAATCCCCCCATATTGAGTTATTCCATAATATTTTCCTCTATGTGGCATGAAGAAAAAAATTATACCATTAACATATTTAACCTAGTTTATTCAAGGTATATTTTATTTATTATTGAAACAGCACAATTAGAAGATAATCACCTCAGTTTTTGTATTTTTATTTATTTATTTAGCAGTAAATGAACTAACCACAGATAAGACACAAAACGCTATTTAATAGCTCAACATTCAAACTTCATAAAATATACCTTAAACTAGATTAAATACATTAAATTATCGGTATAATTATTTTTCCATGCTACATACAGGAAAATATTATGGAATAAACCAATATTATGAAAAAAAAAAAAAAAAAAAAAAAGAAAATGAATACCAGCATATATATATATATATATATATATATATATATATATACACACACACACACACACACAATGAGCAGCAGTTCTGAAACAAAAACAGTTGTTATAATGGTGGTTAAGAAAAGAAAAAAAATTCTTACTCTGTCTGACTGCCAGTATCACAGTCTGCTCGGCAGATGTCATGCAGTACTTCCACACACAGATTTATAATATTGCCAAATCTTGATGTCACAGGGCTGAAGAAAATTCAAAGGCAACATTACACTTAACTAAAACATCACCAAAATACAACAAAACTAAAACCACTTCCAAAATTGGTTAGTTACATATCTGAGAATTTCATTTTTACTGTATATCTGTACACAAAAGAAACTAAATACAAAACAGAAATTAAACATAAAAATAAAAAAAAAGTCATGTTGTTAGCAAGATATATCTGTGAATTTATGCATTTTCATAACCTAATTATTTAAAAAATAATCAGCTCCTTTTGCAACATTTTCATTTCATTTGGGATATTCCTTACCACGGGGATTTCAATAGAAAATACTGCTGAAACTAATTTGCACATTTTAGTCAACTAAACATGTTATGTTTTCCAAACACAAGTAAAATACTCCTCCTGGCAAAAGTTATGAAATTAGCACACTTAGACAATAATCACCTCAGACAATAATCACTTTATTAATTTAGCAGAAAATGAATTAATCACAGATAAGACACAGAACACTTTATTTAATAGTTCAACATTCCCAACTTCATAAAATATACCTTAAACTATATTAAATACATTAAATTAATGGCATAATATATAGGAAAATATTATGGAATAACCCAATATGGAAGGTGGGGATGGAATTTATTGCCAAATAATTAGAATTAAGACTTGGGTGCCCCTCCTCAAGATTTTATGGCAGGTTTAATTTTTCCCAGCATGGATTTCACTAATTTAAAGCAATATTCTTTATCAAAGTGGTTCCAACTTTCCTGAATGGCTGTTAGATGTTTGGTGGATGGAGCCTTTTCATGGACAATCCATATCAATCATTTTACATGCATTCCCTGAAGAAAAGCATTAACCCACTTAGCTCTGTGACAGGATACATTAACATCCTGAAAAATGACTTAATCATCAAAAATTTTCTATTGAGAAAATTATCCAGGATTTCAATGTCCACATGTGCATGTGATTGTAATCTTTATATACTCATTTGTCATATAAAGGTTTAAAATTTCAAAATAAATTTGAAATCTGTTTTTAATATAAAATTTGAACAAAGAAAATCAAAATAGCATTTTTTCTTCTAGAAATAACTCTAACATTACTTTTTAATTATTGTATTTTTTTTCCTTAAAAAAAAAAAAAAAAAAAAAATTATCCACTATTTTATTGCATAAGGACAAATTAGGTACAGTTTTAAATACACTTTGATATGAGCATTATTTGTGAATAAACCTCTACAGACAGATAAAAATGAAAAGGTAACTACCTGAGGTTAACTGTGAGCAGAGAAGATATAGCCAAGGCAGCAAGCTTCCTGCGTTCTGGTTGTGTTATAGAATCTATTTTTTCAAACCACAAATCAAGTAAAAGACCCAGCAAAGGAATACTCTATAAACAAAAGATATGACAAACAGAAAAACAGTAGGAAATGCAATTGGAAATTTCAGTGGTTTACAAAAGTTAGTTATTTTCCTCAAAATTAAAATTTACAATCAAATACAATTTGAATAAATACATAAATAAATAAAATGTATAAACTGAATACTTTTTTCATCATTAGATCTACTACTGCACCTACATAAAACTTAAGAGATAAATATATTTAAAATTTGTATGTAAACAGTTCTAGCTTGAAACCATAGAAGGCTTTTTATTCATTTATTTTTTTTTTCAAGAATATATTTCAAGGATAAAATTCCATATGATAATTTCTTACCTCTTTATCAGTTTCAGCTGATACTTGTTCAAGAAAGGACCAAAAGAATTCATTATTTTGCAATAAAACACGGCACAGGATACAAATCTGCATAGCTATCACAGTAACAAATTCCTGAAATCACACGGAAATCAATTTATAGATGCTAAAAATTCAATCACAATTTACCAGTTACCAAATATAAAATGCCCATAAAAAACATTTTTTTCTATTTACTAGTAAAATTTAGAAATGTATAATAGATTTAAGCATTGAGAATTAGTACTCAACAGTAACAGTTAATAACATATATGTGTTAAACAGAGTCCAAGACAAAATCTTCACTAAGACTTAAAGTTTCACACTATGAATCTGGTCCCTAGTCCATATTGCTTTTTATAATGTAAAACAAAGCCACAGTGAAGTTTATTTTTGTTTTTGGCTTGGATACTAAGTTGTATATTCTATGTTATTGAGGACTTTGTATCTTAAATTGAATCAAGTTCATTTATGGTTTTTATTGTTATATTGTCTTTTGTCACATTTGGTTCAGTTTATTGGTTGTATTTTATTCATTTTTCTTCAAGGCTTTTAGTAATTCTAGTCAAAAGGTTCATCAGTGCCAGTCTAGTCCTGAAGAGCATATCAACTTGAAATTCTTCAGTTGGTCAACCAGATACATGACTTGAACATTTAATTTATTAAATATTATAGATAGAGTTATCTATTGATCAAATTTTGGCAGAAGTCCTACTAGCCTAAGAAAATGTTTTATATATATATATATATATAAATAAAAGGAGAAGGGAGTAATCATGAATGAATAAATTTAAACTTTGAATACTAAAAACATCTTTATGCAGTTCAACAAAATAAGCAAAATGTAACCCTTGCATAAACTGAATATGCTTGACAATAACCATTAAAAATATAAAGAAATAGTTTAAACTGACTTACTGAATTCTCAATTGTTGTTCTGAAAATATGAGAGAGCAATGGTTTGAATACTTGAGGCCCTTCCAGAGGGAATGATTGGAAGACAAGTTCAACAACCTGAAAATAAAGGTTACACATTGTTCAGTCAAAAATTTTAAAAAAAAAATTCAACATGTATGAAATCAATGAGCATGTGATAATGAAATATTCTAATGTTCACATTAAAAAAATAAATGTCATGCATGATTTTGAATAGTTTATTCTATCAACAATATTTGCTTTAAAGTGTATTTTCAATTACAGCTTATATATTATAGAAAAGCATGTATATTTTTCATATTTTCTGTTCAAAATTAAATCTAAAAAGAAAAACAAAATACAATGCTTTGAAATACAAAATGGCTTCTAATTTTTATAACTGAACAAATAAGTTATTTTTGTATTTAAAATTGTTCAACTTTCATTTCATGTGATAAAAATTAAATGGATAGATTCAAATTACAAATTAAGAAATGACTATTTTTTTCAAACTAATATATCTCATTCTTAACTAGTCATGCAGTTGATAAGAACCCAGCATCCAGTTTGAACTTCTGAGTGCCTTGTATATGGATACAGGAAAGCTCCATATTAGGTGTATGGGATACATGTACCCACATTTTAAATTGGGAATTGTTGGTATACTTTAGCTACACAATTGTTTTACCTTAGGAAAATGGTTTTGTGCAAATTTGATCCCTCTATCAAATACACTACTTGCCAAGAAAATATACTAACAGCTTAATCAGCAAGATTGTACAAGGTCTGATAAAGAAGTATTGGGACTGGGGCTATTGAAAAATACTACAACAGATATCAATTCAGCATTTAATCTCCTTTGAAATAGTTCCCGTCTGTAGCCACACACTTTATCCAGTGTTGTTTCTATTGATGGAAGCTTTCTAGCAAACAACTGTCTCATTGCATTATTTCTGATTTCCTCAACATCTTAAAATCTTGTTCCTTTCAAGTGAGATTTGACTTTTGTAAAAGAAAAAGCTACAAGAAGCAAGATCTGGAGAATATGATGGTTGTTGGACCTGAAGAATGTTGTTCTTGGCCAAAAACTGCTGCACAAACCATGGTCACTGATAGAATCTGTGGTGTGGTGAGACGACACCACACCACAGACGACACCATTGATTGTTTATAACAATCAATTTTTTTTTAAATTTATAATAGAAAATTTAGATAGAAAAAAAACTTGCTACATAATTTGGATTGTTCACAAAGAAAAACTAACCACCACAAAAAATTTAAGTAGAAAATGAATAAGAAAAATACCATAGAAAAAAAAAAAAAAAAAAAAAAAAAAAACTTCAAAATTGATATAACAAATTAAATTAAACCTGTTGAAATATTCTTAAATGGCAGAATAATGTTAGCAAAACAAAAATGCTTGAAAAATATTGAATTTTCATAGATAATTACCTATTATACAATAGCAAATTAATGTACTAACCCTTAGAATCATAAGAATGCCTTCTGTCCTAAGGTCTGTGATTAAATTGGACAGTGAGAGAACAAGTTCATTTGAAAATCTCTGAAATAAAAATGTACAAATTTGACAAACATTTTAGAGTTAATTATTATTGAATTACTTGGTAATGAACTTGCATGCTGCATTTTCATTTAATAAAATTAAAAAAAATAAAAAAAACACCTGACAATGTAAATATTTTTTCTTCTGTTTATGCTAACTGAAGTGTAGTGAGGTACTAAATAAAGTAAGTGAATGAGATTTTAATAACGTTCAAGAACAATGGAGCACGCTTGTATATATTATAATATGAAAAATGTTGTGAATGAGACATATGAGGACAACAGTCCAAACAATGTAAATAGAGCAAATAGTTACAATACCACATTACAGAAATATAGACAGATAATTAATTTATTACTTATGAATCTGCCAATATAATACTGCATGCTTTATTTATGCTTCCAATAAACTTTAAAAAGGAGAATCAAACATCCATTTCAGTTTCTCAGATTGCCTATAAAAAATTGTTTACAAATAAAACTAGCAATTATACATAAATTGAACCAAAACAACTGTCATAAATAGCATTGCTTGCAATATCTAAGTAAAAATTAAAAATCAACTCACCTGCATGAATTCTTTGGGTCCCAGCAGTACATAAGCCTCAATAATTTTGAGACAAACTTTAAGGTTCTCAGTCCCTAGCTCTTTAAAACAAAAAAAGTTAATTTTAACAACAATTAAACCAAAATACTAATTCATTTTTATCAAGTTAACATTTCATTTTTAGAGACAAATTAGTTTTTAAAAAGTTTAGTTAATATAGAAGAATGAAAAACATTCCAAAGTGTCTGCTAATTTGCTTATTATATATCAAATTAATTCCCTGCCTTATAAAAAAAAAAAACTCAAGACATTAAGAGATCCTTAAAACGACTTAAAAAAAATACATTAACCTTTTCCATTTGCTGTGACAAAAAGTTACCTTATATTGCTTTTGGAAAAGAGTACAATTAATATTCTAAAGAATCGCTTGAGACATAATTTGAAGATCTGAGCACTGACAAAGTTTTAAAGAAACAAGAAAAAAAAAAAAAAAAAAAAAAAAAGTAATAATACAGCTCTTAGACTTAGTAACAAATATAGAGAACAAGATTGCTCTGATCTTTTCAATGATTTATCATCTGATTTTAGTGGAAATACATTGGTTAAAAGGAAATATCCTGAGGCTTGTCAGCCACAATTTCAAACTTCTAAAGATGGCCTCAGAGGCTGAAATACTACTAATGTTGATACTTATAATTAAACCTAAGTCACACATTCACTTTTTCAATCAATACAGGATTATAAAATAATGAATTTAAGCAAAAAAAAAAAAAAAAATAATAATAATAATAAAAATCCTCAATGCGAAAGTATACAAAAACTATAAAAAAAAATTAAAAAAAAAAAAAAATGTGAATGCAACTGCTGTAAGTGCTGATAAAATATGCAAAAATATTTTCCTTTAATGCACAATTTTTGAATGTCAGGGATTATATTGATATAGGCATCAAAAGCCATTAATAATTTAAAATCAAATGCCTCAAAGAGAACTTTAATAATTTCCTAAAGAAAGTGAATTTGAATTGTCTATTTGAAAAACTGCCAAAACATTTAAGTGCAAAAGAAGCAAAATAAAAACAAAGCTTGCTAAGAAGCAATTATGCAGTAAAACTAATAGAATTCTTACCATGTTCACTTGCAACAGTATTGGGGAGAGATTTTTTTTCTTTAAACTTCCTATTATATTCTGGGTGTATTCCAACAAAAGTTTATTTTATACCAAGAGCATAAATAATCTGTCAGAATGGATAATCTGCACAATTAAAATTATCTTTATCTTAACGTCAGACTTAAAAAAAAAATGTTTTTGAAGATGATTAAACATTTGAAAGACATTTTGCATACAATTTTTCTATAAAACATTATATTGCATGATTGTCTATTGAAATATATTGAGCAACAAATCCAGACAGACATCCCTGTAAATACCATGGTGCACAAAGTATTCAAATAGCTACACATAATAGTCAACACAAACAGGTTTGCATTCTACAAAGAGAAATTGCTTATCTTAGTTCATTAAAAGCCACATCATATACTAGTAAATTAGAAACAAGCCCCACTATTCATTTTCCAGACATAAGTTTAGAAATTAAACCAGAAAATAAATGGATATTTAATCAATGCCCTAGTAACCAATATTTTATTATAAACCCTTGACACTCAAGTAAAAATATATAATAATAATGTTAGGAATGATTGAGAAAAAAAAACAAAAAAACTTCCCTTCATAAATTCAACTTATACATAAACAACCAATAATTTCAGTCTTGAATATAAGAGCTACAAACAAGTAGAGAGTCTAGCAAGGAAAAATCTTCAGTCTGAATTCTAATCAATTCCTATAATTAATTAAAGTACAAGCAAAATGAAAGTGATGTCTTCTTGAAACAATTGAAATCAACTGAAATGTTATAAATTAATTCTTCATTAACACAAATATTTAAATTGAATATTAAATTTATAATTTAAAAAAACAAAACAAAAAAAAACAACCTTTCATTGTACTTTTATCTACAAATTGCTTCATTAATCAAGCTGTGAGGGAATTGCATGTTTTGCCCATATAAGATTTTGAGCAATTTTAACATTGATAATATAATGCAAAATATTTCACAGCAGATGATATAAAACTGATTCCTTTTAACGTTTTTCATTGCAATATTTTTGTAAAAATGGAGAGAATTACAACGTATACCAAATTTCTCTTGTTGACAGCCTTTAAAAGAAAAATGTCCATTTCATAGAGGAAGATTTTATAAGAAAAATTTAATATTTTCTTTTATTTTGAAACTAATTTCCTAAAATATAAAAATAATGCAAATAACCAAACGTAAATAAGTTTACAGGTTAACAAAGTGAAAAAAAAATTCCTTACAAATTATGCAAATTTAAGTAGTTTATATTTTTAAATTTCCATTTACTTAAATAAAAACAGAAGTTAATTTTGTAATTTTACAAATTAAAACAGCTTTAGAAATTCAAAGCTAAAAATAATTTCTTAAACAAATCCTATCGATCTTGTTTATAATAAAATTGGTAAGCTTAAGCTTTGAATTCAAATTTACTGAAATTTATTCAACATTAAAAGAAACGTTAATTCTTGGCTTTAAAATTATTAGTGTGATCAACACTAAATAAATTTACTAATTATAAGGGTTTATCAAAGAAATACTCCATAAATTTTTAAAGCAAAACTAAATTTACATCTTTTTAGTAAACATTTTTACTCAAAAGAGATGGAAATCCATTTATACCATTTTGGGAAACAAGACTACAAACAAGCAATAAACCAACAAAACCTTTTTAAATATGCTACTTGTGTTTTACAATAACCATTTTTTCTTTCATCTTTTCATTAGTCACAAAATTATCTCTGAATTTGCATTAAACCAATTACATTAGATCAGAATATTTTTAAGGTTGTCTTACATGTCAGTGAGATTGGATATCTGGCAATCGGCACTGATCTCTCATCTCAGAACCTAACACAGGGCTGCAGTTTTTCTAAGTGCAACTTCATTTCCATTAAATATTATTCTTTAACAATCGAAAATCTATATGGGTCATGTAGTACTAAGAATTTTCTTTTTTTTTTTTTTTTTTCAATGACAAAATGATACTATTTGCAGAGAGTGGGGTCATTAACACTAACATGAAACTAGAAAAAATATTGAACTTACAGGTGAAGTATTTTTGCTATTGTAATCTTCCCTCAATTTTTACTAAACTATCCTAACAAAGTTCTAGATCAGTATATGTAATTAGATATTATTCTAATATACCGAGCTTATGTACTGTAAATTTAATTCAGTCTCTGATGATTTATCAAGGAATTATTACCTATTAAAGATATTTTTCAAATTCCTGATGAACATATTGTGAAAACAACAAAAACAAAAAACAAAGCAGCCAGAATAGGCCATTGATGCCAATTCAAAGAGATGGACAAGACAATATTATAAAGCTTTTGGTTTCTGATCTTAAAACTGATCAGTGCCACACCAAATATTGTCTTTCCTAGTCACCAACATCTAAGACATACCTAACATTCTCTTCCCAGTCACTGACATCTGGGACATACCTAATAATGCTGGCATAGCAGTGAACAATTCAAGGAGGTCAGGTGTGAGAACTGGTGAATTGTGAAGGGTCTCAAGCCAAAGGTCAAGACCATCTTCTTTCAAATAAACATGGAACTGCTGTGTAACATCAGTGCTAAGGCGAATCACAGGAATCAAGAAATTATACAATGTGTTGCAATTTGTGCCAAGACCCTGGAATGACAAAGAAAAAAATGTTTATTTTAGAATTCTACTATAATACATTTTACTTTTATTAACTGGAATTCAAAACAAAGGTTTTTCAACAATCTCTTTCCCTGTCAATGTACTTGTTTCAATGGTGAGTATTACAGATCAAATATACAGTGAAAACTTTAGATAAAACTAGTAATTGTTACATTATAGACTATGAAACTTTATGAAATTCATGATTTGCTAACAAAAAATGGTGGTTAGCATTAATGTACTCATCAATAGCCATTATAGGCAGGACTGGCATCAGGGTCTTTTGCTATCAGGGATAGCATGCATTTTCCTACCTTAATAAATTAATAGAGACTATTACTCCTATTTTAACAAATACAATTCAAACAGAAGAGTAAAATGAGCTCATAAAATATAATTCAAAATAAAGCAATAGACATACAAACCTTGACCAGCCGAATAAGAGTTGTCAGTATAGCACAACGCAACATGTTGTGGTCAGAAGCATGTTCCCACAAAAGTGGCAAGTATAGTATAAGCTGGTCTGCATATGGACGGATCTGGCAACCAACACGTTCAATCACAAATGATATCACATAAAGAACATGCATCTAGAAAAAAATTAAAATAAACACTGAAAAAGGACATAAGTAATGTGCTGAATTCAATTTTAAATGTTCTGTGTAGATTCAATGAAAACTTGTAAAATGTTTGCTTGCAAAAAGTACAAAAGAAAGATATTTGTTTTTGGGTTGTAAATAAATTTATATGTGCATTTGTTCATGAGTCAAAGGTTAATGCATTATGCATAACCAGACAATCACTAATTATTAAAGATCATTGCATCTTGATTATCTATAAGAATGTGAAAGCTCAAAGCGCTAAAAATACTGAAAAAATAACTGAATAAAAATATTAATGCAGTTATTTGAATTTATATTGGATGAAAAATAAGAGATTTCTTAAATTTTTTTTTAACTTTATGTTGACTAACATTTTATCATTTACTACAAGTGTTCTTGTTGACCAGAACAAAGTATTAATTAAAATTTTAGTTGGCCTGTGATTCTACTTTTAGTTAAAAAATATATATTGGCTAATACTATATCATACTCATACACTCAGTTTTGTATTTTGTGGATTTATTCAAATAAAACTGGAAGTCAAATTTATGCCCTAACCTTTGTTCTATGTATATAAGATTTAAAAAAATGACACTTTATTTCATAGCTGAAAAATTTAAATGTTAGTTAGAGGATTACCATATCATTCACATCATTTTGAGCTAGTAATTTAAGAACTCAGTACTCTAGTGGAAGAATCCTTTATCCGAGCATAATACCTGTACAAATCAAAAAATGATCTGAAAACTATCTCAGAAATAGGTCCCTCACTAAAACGGGGGTGAAAAAACTTAAAACCCAATCATAAAACTGACCTTAGTATCACATTCCTTGACTTCCCTCAGCAGTTGGAAAAGAAGGCTAAATGAGGGGCTCAGATACTGAAAAGATAATTTCATTCAAGTATTAAATGTCTACCATTTTAAAATAAGATTATAGTCAAAATGGTCAGGAACAATATTTAAATAGGTTACAATTAGTTATTCTTTTATCATCAAGCAACTGTTAAAACAATTAGTACAATTGGTTTTCCTCAGTAAGATGTATTAACCCATTGAATAGATAGGAAATAAAAAAGTACTTTCTCTAAAAGATAAAAATTTCAATTTAACACTGAATTTCATTCCAAATTAAAACATTAACCTTTTGTTGAGTGATTTTAAAAGCTAAAATATTTATCAGCTGTTTAGAAAATTTTTAGAAAGTACTTAAAAAAAAAAAAAAAAAAAAAAACTTGATATTTACTCACAGAAAAAATACCTATATCTGTATGCAATTGTCAAATTTTAAATAAATTAAGTTAAAAAAAGAAAAGCTAAATAAAACTTTTTTGAAGCCATTAAAAGTTTTGTTTTTTTAGGTTTCACATTTCTAGCAATTTGTATGATAAGCAACAAAACAAAAACAATTAAAATCTTAATACTTTCATGTCTTTATATGTATTTCCACTAAATGAAGTTAAATGTGTTTAAAAATCATACTTTTTTAAAGATACAAATTAAAAATATAGTAATAATAACAACAAAAAGATATTTACCGGTAAAAACTGCTCAGTATTAAATTCAAAATCATCAACAGGTAAGAAAAGTTAAGGATACAATTTGTACACATGTATTCATAATCTGACATTAATTTTACAATGTTTGAATATATAATTTGGATGAGAAGGATACATTTCCAAACTAGAAAAATACAAGAGTAATTACTATTTATTAACAGTCAATGATTTAAATTCAGCATTTTTATTGTTTAGATTCATTACAGTGCATGCCATTTCTGTAATGACAAAGAAACCAAATCTATGATAGAAAGGCTCATTTCATCTTGGCAGAGAATATAAAGGTGAAATAAACCACCCCCTAAAGGGAAATCAAAAGCCAGTAGTGAGAATGAAATCAGGCATGGCTGATCATGTATGGAGGGAAAGGAGTAATCATCAGTCCCTGTGGAACGAGGTGAAATACTGGACAAGAAAAAACACTAGAGAGCTAGATGTCAGAAAATCAATGCATATACTAAGCTATGAGAACTTCCTTAGTAGGCCTATCATAGAAATAAATACAATATGGAAGCTGCTAATAAAGAAAGACAAATAATATCAAGTCTTCAACAGCAGCAGTCAAAACATGATTGCCAACAGCAGCAGTTGCAACAATCAGCAGATTGGTTAAGTTTAAGGCTCTAACTTTACTACAACAAATTATCCCATGATATCCTGGCCTAGTGGATAAAAGTATTGGTTTTGGTGACATAGTGGTTGTAAGTTCAATCCCCGAGTTGGGTAGTGCGTACATGTACTCAGAACAATAACTAAATAGTATTAATTAAAAATAAGAACTAGATGATATCCCTAGACATGAGCAGTGGAACAGATTAAATAAAGTTCACAATTACCCAGATCAATATATGTCAGAAACATCAAACATTGTGATAACAACAACAAAGATGAGGACAATTGTCCAAATATAGTGTAAATAATAAATAGCCAATTTAGACATTCACAAGTATCACACCAACCATCACAGTCCTACATCAAGGTTGGAAGATCATTAGGGAGGCATTTTGTGTCATAACAACTGGTCAATGTAAGTTGTTGCTGGGCAACCAATCAGTTTTGCTCCATGGTTAGGTATCCAGAGCAGAAGATCACACATTCTTGTTATGCTCACCAGCAGTGTCCAGAGACAGCATTGTGTCCACATAAAATTCTAGAAATACCAGGGATGGGTTCACAGGACTGTGATTTAGTTGGATGTTGTCTCCAGATGTTAGGTATAGCTCTCAGCATCCAAGTGTTGGTCCCATCAAGCTTAGACTCTAGGGTTTTAGTTAATGTCCAGGCAGTTGCACCATACATTAACACCACCTCTACTATGACTCGAAAGAATCTCTACTTGAGGTTGTCTGGTAGATCAGATTTCCTGATTCCATCCATTTTATTCAGACTTTAGATATGTGAATTTTCATTTCACATACTTTTCAGTAGAATTTATCTCGCTTCCTAGGCAAGTAAAAGATTTAACCCATTTTACTGTTTTAACAGAGATAGTTTGTATTAAGCCTTACTGGTTCAAGCCTAGGAATTCAATTAGAGGTATTGACATACTATCTTACTATTACACCAATCCAAATTAATTAAATTTTTTAAGAATCTTTTGGAGAAGGAAACTTATGAGATATGCAAAGTAATTAAAAAATACAAATATCAAGTAAAGGAATAATTTATTTAAAAAAAAAAAAAAAAAAGTGGGATTGCAGAAAATAATATTCTGCAATTTTTGGATAGAAACCTGGTATGGAAAACAAAGAGTATCAATGTATGTTGAGAAAGGAAAGAGAGACCATGATTGGCATAACATTTCATTTGAAAACTGAGCCACTAGACTATCCATACAGATGATGTGATTATGGTGGTGAAGGCTTGTGTAGAACCAATCACACCTTTTGGAAGAACTAAGACCACAAATGGTGTACTGTGTACCAAAAATCTCTAAACAGCCCACCTTATGCAGTTTAACCTTTCCATATCAAGGTCAAAGTCTAAAAACAGTACATTTCCCTAGAAAAACAATTTAATATTCAGTGTTCCCATTCTAATCTCAAAAGCAAGAGAATCCAGTATTCCCAGCTATTTGAACCATGGCTGGCTGGGGGTGGGGATTCATGCCTTTTCTATGAAGCGATAAACTGAATTTTTTTTTTTTTTTAACTCTGCTTACCAATTCAACCTTGCACACTAATAACCATTACCCTACCAGAAGCAATTTCTTTGTGATTAACAACTGAAGATGAGAAATTAAGTGTAGGAAGTTAGATTATAAGGTCTATGCATGATGGGTTATACAGGTAGATGAAGATAAATGTAAACAAAAGTGAATCTTGACTGCAAAACAAACAAGAACCTTGCATGACAAATATGTATTTTGGCTTCTTTTAGGGCCAGGTTTTGTTTCATAAGCAGACTCATCTTTGAAAGGAAATAGGAATTCACCCTTACTCATAAGCCTTATTAAGAATTTGTTTCACTAAATCAGCTGATTAAAAAAAATCTATAGTAACAACACAAAAATACTACATTGATAACTGAAAAACTTTTCAGTACAACTTCACTGGAAAATATTATTTTATCATTTTTCCCACCTTTGATACATTATTCCTAAATGACAAAGCCAAGTTATTTAAGGATATACGTCTAAGTTTAAAATGGACAAAATCTTTGTAAATGTGACAAATAAGAAAAAATATCTATATCAATAAAATAAAAACTAAAAAAATGCATTAACATTATCATGTCCAGAAAATAATTTCCTTTGTGAAATACTCAAGTTCTGTAGTAAGGATATCAGTCCTCAAAGTGTTGGCAGCTTCAAGCCGTACCACCAGATCTTCATCATCTTGTAATAAAGGAAGAATGGCCTCATACAAGGTTGGCCTCAATGTCACAGACAGTTTAACACCAATCCACTGACTGACCAACCATATCACACGTCGACGCATAATTCGATAACTAGGAAACAAAAACATGAAAATTCAAAAAGTCACAAGCAATGTAAGGCTTGTCTTATTTTCATATTTTCCTTAAACTCAGAACAGTTATATATACTACATTAAAATGCAGATCTAAAAAAAAAAAAAAAAAAAAAAAAAAGCTTAAATTTGAAAAGCCAAACTACTTTGTAAGAATTTCATTTTTTTTTTTTCTAAAAATCACTGTGTATATGTAAAAAGGTTTTCTTTCATACTCAATAACAACCATTTAAATTTCAACAAGTTTAATTAGAATTTAGATTGAAAGATCAAAGTGAAATACTGAGAAAGTCCCAGGTACATGGTAAATATAAATTGTAAATCTATACAAGTTAAAGAAAATTTAAATGATTTAGGTTCCTTTCAAATATTTTGTAGACAACTTGGTACTCACTTTGTATGTTTGTTCTGTAATTCTGGTATCAAGTGACTTGTGAACCATTGGTCAAAGTCTATATCATCAAAAAGGTCAAAAGATGCCAAACCAACAGCATTATAAACTAAAAAAAAAAAAAAAATTAAAATCAGTTACAGAAAGACCATTTTAAGTACAAATATTTTTCATATTTTATGTGAAATATTTGAAAAATAAATTTTCTATGTGCTTTATAGAAAAAGATATTACTATGTAACATTTTCTATTAAGAAAAATCACTATTTAAACATTAATTTACTTACCAGCATCTTTGCGAAGTATCGCTGCCATATCTTCAACATCACAGGGACCTTGAACATTACGGACCATTGCAAGCAGCACAGGAGACAGTGTATTATGGAAGCATTTGAACAATGACAAAAATAATACTTCTGTGCATGGCTGCAATCAACAATAGAAATATTATTAAAGTTAGTGCCTTCAAGAAAATCTCAATTATGTTATTTTATACTGAATTGAAAAAGACAATTTTGAGAGGGGTGGGTGAATAACATTTATTTTTACTTCAAAATTTGATGCCAAAATCTATTTACATCATACACACCAAAGTTATAAGATATGATATACAAAAGCCAGGTGTAAATATATTTAAATAGACATGCATAGTTTAGTTCATCTAAAGTATGAATTTCAGATTAAACTTTTAATCAATGTAATCTTTCAAATATATCCCATCACCCACAAACTGTCTACAAAATAAGGGTGTGTCTGATACTAAAAAAATATTAAGTTAAATCAATTATTTTAAGATAATGAAAAGGTAAATATTTTAAGGATAAATAAGATCACTAAAAAGTAACAATTTTAGTTAATTTAGTAAAAGAATAGTACAGGTTCAACTTTCAATCTAATTAATAATAACAGCAATAGACTGATATTTACTCATTTACAGTTCAATATATTAAATATCAATGACAAGCTTAGAACAAAATGACAATGAAAGTGTTTTCCATAATTCGCATAAAAGATAAACTAGACTAAAACAGTTACTATAGACTTGCCACAGCCAGTAATTTACATATATGCAAACAATGGATTTTATGTGCTCATGCATTGTAACTATTTTTAAATATTCACATAAAAAAGATATTGGCTTAATATAATAATGCGAATACATTTTCCAAGCCTAAAACCCTTTACTAACCTTTAATGAGAATTTATAAGAATCTCCACCTTCATCTTGACCTGCAGAAGAAACAATTTAAATTAAATTGAAGAAATTCATAAACTGGCTTCTTAGTTGCCCATAAAACTAAAATAAAAATGCCAGTTTTAAAACCAAATAAATTTGGATTAAAAAAAAAAAAAAAAAAAAAAGAGAGGGAGGGAGGAAAGAAAAATAAAACCCAATACTACAAATATCACTTTGTTGTACATTTCTGAGAGATTCATATTGATTTTTTTTTTTTTTTTTTTCAGACAGAAAACAAAAGCAGAAGGGAAACATTGGATGTTGTAACAAGATTAACTTTAGTTTTGTCAACTCAAAGAGAAAGTGCTATTGGTCACCAGTTTTCTAAGCATAAATGTTAAAGGCCAGATTCATATTTTTTTTTTTTATGTATGAGATAGTGCATACTTTGAATTAAAAAAAAATAAAATTTTTAAAATTAGTTTGGCTGTCTCCTCTTTGGCAATGTGTTCTTATGATAAACCTGTACTTCTAACCTTAACTCAAAATTAGTGATGTCAAAATATCTCTAAGTTATACAATCAAATCTTAAAATGGTGGTGGATTAGTATGAACTTCACCTCCTTTATTTATTGACTAAAGCTCTTACCTAATAGTTATTTTAAGGTCAATTTCATTAATCAAAGTATAAAGTACCTTCTTTAATGATAGCTGAAGGAAAATTACTGGCTTGCCAGAATCTTGACAATTTAAAAGGAAATAGTTCAATAAACTACTTAAGCCTAGATCAAACATGCACACAGTGTACCCAAAGGTAACAAAAACTCACTGTAGTAATACAAACAAGTTCATTTATTAAAAAAAACCCTTGTAGCTGCTGAGGAAATGATAAAATTTCAAAGCCAAAATAATTATCCCCAAGTTCTTTCAATGATGCCTACCAAACAATATTAAAAAAGATAATGCCATAAAAAAGAAAACAGCAGTAAATAAAAATAAGGAGAAAAACGAAGAAATTTAAAATTGGACTAATACAAAGAGCAGCCAATAAGCTATGTACTATTTATGATACATTTACTACTCTTGATTAAATTTTAGTACTCTTGACACACACAGAAAAATATCTTCTGATACATTCATACTTACAGAATGTTTCAGGATCTGATTCCCATGCTTGAAGATCATCAGAAGACAGCAGAAAATAACGGTTAATAAGATGATGACAGATTTCAGTCAGTGTGCTAGGCGTGAAAAACTCCATCTTTAATTTGTGCGCTTCAACTGTGGCAGGATTTACTTTGTCAGCTTAAAGAAAAACAATCAATATACAAGTTAAAAAAAAAAAAAAAAAAAACTTTACATCAAGACTTAATATAAGGTTGTATAATTTTTAAATTTGCAATTTAATATTTCAAGGTTACTTATTCTAATTAGCAGAAACCCTTAAAAGCAATTAAAAAAAACTAAAATAGTTAATTCCTAATAGACCTAATGTGAATCTTGAGAATAATTGAAAATAAACCCTTCGTAAATATATACTTTGCTTATTAAATTTTTTGCTTTTTTTTTTTTAATGAAATTTTTATTCTATTTTCAAAATTCAGTGATACTGTTAAAATAAGTTTGTAGAAAAACACTGTTTCCCCCGTAGAAGAATGAAATACAAATTTCAGTTAATGTAGTTTTTTTTTTTTTTTTTCATTTTCCAAGAATAAAAAAATTGTCAGAACTTTTGAGAACTCATGACAGAAAATCAACGGCTTCGGTTTCATTCATCAAAGAATATAAAATTTGTCACCAGTAGAATGTCAAGCCCATTCCAGAGAATTAGCCTAATAATAATCCAAAAGAGCCAGAGTTCAATTCCCAACACTGTCTAAACAAGAATAAATTGCTACTGTGAAGAAAAGGATAAAAAAAAAAATGTAATATGGTAAATAATGAGAAATCATTTTTTTTTTTTTTTTTTTTTTTTTTAAGAGAGAGTAAAAACAATAAAACTCAAATTCCAAACTAATATAAAAATCAAGAAATGTTGAACCACACTGTCATTTTCTTATATCAAAATCAGAATATTTCCTTCTGCACAAGCAGTACTTTTTTGTTGTCCACAAAACTCTGGACAAAAAAAGAAATCTAGCTTGTATTTAAGATAATGGAGATATTGTTTAAACAATTAGTTTCTTACCTTTCCGGGAATCAATTTTGTAGCTATCACTATGAATGATACCTTTCAAAAGATTCAAACAATTCACAATGAAATGAGGAAAGAGAAGACCTATAAAAAGCAGAAAAGAAACAATGTAAATTATATATATTTTTTTTTAAATTATTTAATCAATATGCTATTTTATTAACAAGCATTTCATACAATAATAAATACTAGGGATAATATATATATAACAGATTAGCAATTTGCTAAAAAGAAATGCATTCATTATAAGAGCATAATACATACAAATATCAAAATAAAATAGGAGGAAGAGCAAGAATAGAAATTGTGTATGTGTGTACTAGAGATTTTTCAAAATAGTCAGCAGAGCACATTCTCATTATTTGAAAGTATATGAAACCCAGTATATTAAGACTAAGCAATCTACCCTCTGTAAGCAGAAGAAATGGTTGCTGGGTAATATGTGCCTTTCATACTGCTGATACTCTGGTAGTATTTACCCCCTCCCCGTTTAGTTGTCTTACCCTTGACTGAGCTCTGAAGAATGAGGAACAATAACTAGTTAACTTTGGTTTTATCTTTTTTTTTTTTTTTTTTTTTTTTTTCATTCACTATTTTATGCTGAGTAATATTTTATTCTTATCCCTGCTCTTTCTCCTGCTTTATTTTAATATATTTATTACATGAATATAAACTAAACATAAATGATATCCAAAGCAATTTGTTTGAGACCATTATTGCATTGATAAAAGTTACTGGACAATGATTTCATTGTTAAAAAAGAAAAGTGTTAGTTAAACTTGCAAAACTATATAAACCAGATGATCAATTTACCTTTCCCAGTTTCTGTAAAATTATAACGAGCCACAAACTGTAGCGCAGTTGGGATGAACTGAATGAAAGAGAATGGATGGACTTCCAACACATCTAACAGCTGAAAATGATACAGGAGAGAAAGATAGAGAGATTCAAATAACAAACTACAAAGTAAACATTTAAAATACTTTATAACAAGCAGAGGAAGGGATTTGTAAAACTTAATACTAATGAAAAATAAAAATACAATGACTATAATTTTATGTGATGAGACCATGTTGTGATTAAATCAGCCATGGTGACAAAATGCACCTTCAGAATGGCAAGCCTCTACAGTCAAATCCAGGTCAGTCATATATTAAATGAAGGAAACCAATAAAAAACCTGGGACCAGTCAGTGTTTTATCTGGCTGCACCATGGCACGTAGCACAGAAATCCATAGTTTACAACATATGGATGTTAGTGCACATACTGTTCTTCATGTTAAAAATTCACTAATAGGGTCTGAAGACTATTACACTTGTCTCCTGCAAGATGCAAAAATGCCTCTAACATTTATTGGGGGGGGGTCAAGCCATGATGCAAATAATTACAAATTTTTTTCCTTCAAAAATGTAATTTTATCTTGATAACATTCTTTCCAAGGTAAAAAAAAAAAAAAAAAAAACAAGGCTTCAACATTATCTTCAAATATTTTTACTGAAATTTGCAAAAATGTCCTTGTATGGTTTGATTTCACCAATAACCAACAGTCTGTAAAAATATTTCAAATTAAGTATAAAAAAAATTGATCAGTGCTTGAGAAAAACAGAAAAAGAAAATCATACAACAGAACAATGTCTAAGTTTTTTTAAAAATATATTCACTTGTTTAGAAGTTTCACATCCTCCAGAAATTCAACTTGATAATTTGTATTTTATAAAACTACAATAATGTAAAAGGAGATCAAGAATCAAATGTTACATACCACTTTGCTCATCAGCAAAATTAATTTCTCACACTTATCCACCATTTGTCGATTTCCCCACAGACTACGCCCTGAAAGAAAATTTATCAATAATGACAAGCGTTTTGGAAATGACTAATTCTATTATGTTGTTCAATATGAACTTTAGCAAAATAAGGAATTTATTCAATGAACTAACTCCTCAATGCCTATACATCTTGATAGAAAATTAATTTAAAAAGATGTATTTGGTAATGTTTTGCAGCAAGTAGGGACTATGTTTAGGTTGAAATTGCATAAATTAGTCAGCCTCTAAACAGATGTTCACTTGTAAGTCTTGAGGGCAATGCAGATTTATTTTCATTGCTGAGAAAAAACTGCATACAAATGTATGTCCCTCTATATACAGCGCATAGAATTTGCATAAATGAGCACAATGATATTGAAAATCTCATGGAAAAGGAACTGGTAGAAATCTGGAATGCTATTTCTGCTTCAGTATGTTAGTACACTAAACCTCCAAGTCAATCTGAAATTCTTCAGAAAAGGTGTGTATGTGACATAGAATTTGAAATATGTTAAAACAGACTCACAAAAGAGGGCTCAATTTTCATTTTCATTAAACAGAGCAAATTTTCTTTACAATTGGAATTAAGATACCTTTAGTTAATGGCCATTTTCACCTACAAATTTTAATTTTAAAATTCACAGGATTTTTCATCAAGAATTATTGGTGACTTACTGATGGAGAAGGGATATGTATATGGACAGAAGCAGATGGGAAATTGGTAAGAGCATAAAAGGAAGGGAGGAGAAGCTAGATGTGCAGTGTGACAGTTAATTGATCAGTTCATTTTCTTGTTAAGGTATAATAGTTTGAGTTGAGTCCAGACTGGGAAGGAGCAGAGGTTTCCAGGTGAATGTCCTCCTATGACAGTCCATGCTCATTCGATGGGAGTCAAGGTAAGCTCAAATATCCTGCGGTGACAGCATTTAGAAATTAATATCCTCCACAAAAGGTTCCCTTTCTTTTTACTTCGGTTGTCCTAAAATTGTTTCAATTTCCTTTTCTCATCTCTGAGTTTATCTATTGCGTTATCCTTGATATCCAGTACATGTTGGCATTAAATCTCCACCAAATGGCTTATGACATAATAAATGATTAAATAAGTTCTTAAGTTTGGATGCATATGAGGATATATGTGAGTGTGTATAGAGACACACACACACACGCACATATATATGTGCGTGTGTGTGTGTGTCAGCCTTGTATCCTATATATAATTATTATATACCATTCAGCATATCCAATCTTAAGTAATCATATTTTACTACCATCATAAAACTTCCTAATATTTAACATATGGTACATATATTAATATATGAATTTAAAGGGTCAGTTACCAATACATATTAGATTACAGGTTGAAGAAGTGACCTAGGAATATATATCTACGAAAAAAATTGGTGATTATACATTCATACTAAACAATTTTAATTTGTTCTCACTTTTGTCTTGTAATTCCGTCTAATTATGTTAAGTTAATTTCTGGGTTTTTCTAACTTAACTAAACTCCTCTTATTATCTTCCGAAAATGTTTCATCCTAACATAGGTTATTTATAAATACATGTCAGCTAGCATATGTAAGTATGTGCTTGGATGTAGATACCTAAGTGTATGCAAGTATAGACAGCTATGCGAGTAGATATTCTTAATTTGGACTAACACATGGGTACATATATATATATATATATATATATATATATATATATATATATCCAAATTCCCGCCAAATCTTTGAAAACACTCCTCCAGACTTTGAGCTCTGATATATGGACGAGTTTAATACCAATAATTTCAAATTATCTTTCATTTTGCTAAAGTTACCACTCAATTGTTTTTCACTTTTTCGTTAATTTCCATGGACTCCTGTTGAATTAAACTTTGGGTGTGTGACCATTAGGATGTAGGCCAGCTCATCGGTTTACTCCTCCCTCCATAATATAACTCTAGTGACAGTGCCTTCTCTCCATATCTCCCACTAAGTCCCCTATAACATCCTCTTTCTCTCCAACTAACCAGTATCCCACTACAAACTGATACCATAAACAGTTTGAAAAATCCTGCAAATTTTAAAATTAAAATTCCTAGGTGAAAATGGTCATTAACTAAAGATATCTTAATTCCAACTGTAAAGAAAAGTGTGTGTGTGTGTATATATATATATATATATATATATATATATATAGCAAAAATGAAAACCACAAGTTGATTTTCTAAATTCAAAGTCCTGAAAATGTTGATGAAGCTTTGCATACAGATATTTTTAAAAATCATCTGTATATTTTTTTTTAAAATACTGCCATTTAACACAACCTAAATACTGCAAGGCTGTGAAGGGAGTTAACTTGCCACCCACAAAGTGCTTTGGCCCACAATAGCAGTCCACTTAAGATTTCATCCAGTTAAATATCATTGTTTGAATCCACTTTAAGCTCTGGGACTTAAAGTTTAGTATATTCAAATACGCGAGGAAGAATGGAAAAAAACTAAAAGATAAAAAAATAATCTTTTCCAGAAAATCTCCACAATCGTGATACCTCACTTCAAAATAGTACAGAAACTCCATATTCACTATTTTTAATGGATAAAAAAGATTGTACAGTAGGCAACTGTAATAGATGTACTTTCATTAAATGAATTAGAATTTCCTTTTAAGTTTTCAGTAGCCATTTACTGGTAAGAATTGCTTGCTAAACCAGTGGTATAGCTGACAACAATATCTGGGTCAGATTGAAAATGGGTAAACCCCAAGTCAAAAAAAAAAAAAAAAAAAAAAAAAATCAAAATCCACTTTATTTTCTGAATTAGCTGTACAACAGAAGGGTCAAATTATTTGGCTACCTTTCCATCTGTTGAATGGTTTCCCATTTTGTTGACAACCAGGGAAATTGTGACTTTTTTTTTTTTTTTTTAAAGAGGACTGATTGCAGCTACTGCAAACCAGGTAGGAAAGGCACAGTGTATTGTGGGAAGGACAAAAACAATTTTCAAACAAACCACAAAATATCTTTTGGACATAAAAAAAATTAGTAGGATTGTATAATTCACAAAATGAAGTACACACCTCATATACAATCCAGAAAATTGTTAGTGAAGAGAAACACTTGTCAACCAACAAGAAGCATTTACAGTAGTCATAGCAGCCTGTTATGTTAAAGGTTCTGCAATTATTGCTGAAAATCTCAATTCAACAGCAGATAAAGACATTGATTTGAATGTTATACCAGTTGCCATTATTTCCAATCAAACACCAAATGTAAAGAACATAGCTTTTTGTTGGAATAATCAACTTGCAGAATATATAAACCTGGATTAAGAAAACTGCATTTTGAAGTGATAGCTCTGCCGCCCAATTCAGATAACAGTATGTCTGGACAGGAGAAAAATGCACAAGTTAAAAAAAAAAAAAAAATTGGTTATGAAAATGGTTTTAATGGAGACCATAGACACGAATAGTCTGTAGGGTTCATATTTAAAATTTTCAATTTAGAAAGTGATACCACTAACACTCTAAATAAGAGGAAAACTAGCCATAAACCAGGACAAAATTGTTAAATCCCCAAATTTGGATCATATTTAACTGGACTTAAGCAAAATATACTAAATATCAAAACAAAGAAATGTAGAACAATTTAATAATTGGTGTGAGAAGGCTATTTAAAAATATTTGAAAATTTAACTCACGGCATTCAAGAAGGGTCTCAAGCCGAGTAAAAACCAAATTGATGAATAAAATTGCATCGGAATGAAGCTGCTGATCCCTAAATCCAAAACAAACCAATTTTCTTAAGACTGAAAATAAGAGAAAAAAATTATGAAGATCATTTCATAAAATCAAAAATATACAGACTCATTTATATACAAGGGAAAAAAAAAGTTACCTTTGAGAATCAAAATGCACCTCTCAATAGCTTCTAACATCCCTTCCTCGTACTTTGAGGCAAGCTGCAGAAAGGTCTCCATGTGCGTATTCCACAAGTTCAACACAAATGAGAATAAATTGTCTGATACCTACAATAATAAAGTAAACTTTGCTAAGCAATGAAGTAGTGGAAAACATTTAAGACAAAGGTGTTGCAGATAAAGTTAAATTAGGACCCTTCACAAAAACACGATACCTCACATTTAAAATGAATTCTAATAATGAAAAAAATCTTTCTTAAAGCTTTTAGTTTTAATATCAAGCTGAGACATTAAATTTAACATTTTTAATAAACAAAATACTACACTGTATTTCAAAACTAATTTAAATTGATTGGAAAGAATTTTATTTTTGAATTTCTAAGAGAATTTTTTTCTTTTTAATCAAATTTAGCACCATTTTTAGCAATGTTATAAAAATGTAAAATCTCTTTATTAAAAAAAAATCTTCCAAAAATAAAACATACTTTTTTGAAACTTAGAGGAATATTAGCTGATTTAAAGTATAATTAATCTGATTTGAAACAACTATTAGTTTTTTAAATTGAAAATAACACAGAAATGCATTTTTTAACACTTCAGTAGATTGTTTATTTATGTTGACAGCTTTTTAATACCTCAGTGACAGATTGTTACCTAATGTTCTATGGGATGGGGCTTTGACCATTAAAAAAATAACACAACATGAATGCCTTTTAAGTACTCAGTAATCTTAAAATTTTAAGAAAATATTCCCCATAATTTATTATTTTATTGAATGTTAGAGAATTTTGGCTCTAAATTTACCATAGTTGTCACTCTTATTTTCTAATAGTATCATGTATAGGCAACTATATCTATAAAAATTGGCATGTTTTTACAAATACAAAACCAATCAAAATTCTTTTGAATAATATTCAGGGGGTGTCAGCTTTATGCTATATGATCAGTTTTAATTAATAACAATCTTTCCTAAGAGCTACACCAGCGAAAAATGAATTTTAAAATATTTAAAAATATAAATTATTCTAATTAAAATTTCAAAGAAAAAAAAATGAATACAAATCTTGTAAATTCATTTTTAATGGAAAATTGTCTTTTTCTTAAAAGACAATATCTTTAATATATCAGGTCATCCCATAAGTTCTGTCCGAATTTTGAATAAAGAAAACAAGTGACCAAATGTTACATTTACTTACAGATTCAATCAACAATGTATTTTCCCTGATTTTCCAATTTCCTTCCATCTATTAACAAGCTTACTAATTCCATTACTGTAAAATTCTTTTGGCTTTGATTCAAAGAACTCACAAATGTCAGTTTTAACCTCTTCCTGTGTTACAAAAGCTGTTTCTTCCAAATGATTCTGTAAGCTACGAAACAAATGGTAGTCTGAAGGAGCAAGATCAGGAGAATAAGGTGGATGAGGAATTTTCTCCCAACCAAGTTCTTTGATCTTTTGTGATGTGATTCTTGCTGTGTCTGGTCACACATTGTCCTCATGAAACATCACCTCTTTTCAATTCACTTGAGCAGGTCTTTTTTTCTTCAAAGCTTGGTACAAACGCTCTAATTGCTGACAGTATATTTAAGCATTAACTGTTGCATTAGGTGATAAGAATTCAAAGTGGATTATTCCTTGGTGATCCCACCAGATTGAAAGAAGAACCTTTTGCCCATGAAGTTCCCTTCTCGGCTGTGGCTGGGGTCCTTTCCCTTTACCAAGCCACTGTCTACGATGATTAACATTTCGATAAAAGATTCCATTTTTTTGTCGCCAGTCACAAGGCTATCCAAAAAAGGTGAAACAAGTTGGCGAGAATGGAGAGAAGAGCAGATGTCAACTTGGGATTTGAGGTTGTTTTCAGACAATTCATGAGGCACCCATTTTCCAAGTTTAGGAACTTTTCCAAGTTGTTGAAGATGACGATGAACAGTTGTATGGTTTGAACTGAGAACCACTGCCAATTCCTCAACTGATAAAGCAGGATTTTCTTCAAGGGCTGCTTCAAGAAGCTTTTCATCAAACTCAACTGGACATCCGGTTTGATCTTCTTCAAGGGTGAAATCTCCACCTCTGAATTTTGCAAACCATCTTCTGCAAGTTCTTTCATTCACACATTCCTCTCCATAAACTGAGTGAATGTTTCTAGCTGCTGAGTTTCCTTTCTTGAACTCATAAAGCATTATGTGCCTCAAATGATTCTTGGGTACTTTCATGTTAGCAGGGTTTTAATCAAACAAAATTTAATTTTATTGTTCTCTGAAATAAAATTTGATCAGTTTAAATGCATCTAAACATAAAAATAATGTTCAGCTCCATTAGATATTATAAAATACTCTTTAAATTTTGTTCATTTTAACAAAAAGTTAAAATTCAGACAGAACTTATGGGATGACCTGATATATTATTCATAAAAGCAATTAAAAGCTTCTATAATTAAATAATTTCTTAGTTTTTTACTTTTTGATTCAGAATAAATTTTCAGTAAGATGGGGTCCAATTTGGAAAAAAAAAATAAAATTAAAAAAACAAAAAGTAATAATATTTGGTGATTTAAATTCTCCAAAGAATGTTGCTTTTAACTAATATAGGCACTAAAAATTATCACATTGAATTTGTCAAGTTTTCATAAAATTAAGTAAGGGGGGGGGGAACATGTTTAAAATTTTTTTTTTTTAAAACCAAGATTTAAAATCTAAAATCATTTCATTCATTTATGAATATTTGATTTTTGCAAGAATTTCAAAATTAATGCCTGTCACTACAAAAAAGAAGCTAAAATTTGCTATGCTAACATATAGTACATCTGCTGATCCAAGAGAAAAGAAAAAACATGTTTAATCAAAATTTTGGATGTTCTACAAAAGAGTAAAAAATTTAATTAAATATTTGAAAATACTTTAATCTTTCCTTTTGATAATTTTATTTCAATAATCTTTTTTAATTAAAAATGTAATTACTTTACAAGCTTTTACCTCATAATTATAACAAAACAATTTTTCAAAGAAATGTGGATTTTATATTTTTCATAATTATAGTTTACCAAAATTCACACACATATATATATATATATATATATATATATATATACACACACACACAATCTGCTACAAAGCTAATACAAATATATCAAAATGACTAAAAGTGACCTAGAGTTAAAAAACAATATCAGCAAAACATTTACTAACATAAATTTTAGATTTTATTGCAATTTTTCTTAATGATTTTTAAATACAAGTTACATAATAATAGGCATCGTTTACTTTTGAATATATACTGATGTATCAAAAGTTGTCTGGCAAAATGCAACTGGAGATATGTTGAGGCATGTCATTTCAATAGCTGTCCCCAGCTCCTACATATCTATAGGTGTAAGATCTTTGTGTGTAAATAAATCTCTCTATGTCTCATAAATGCTTTGTCATGTTGAGCAAACATGGTGGCCACACCATTCATCAAAAGCTTTTAAAATATTCAATTCTAGGCCACTTGTACTAAATGACATGGTACCTTATCCCGCTAAAATAACCCATCATTGTTGAATCACATAGAATCCATGTGCAAATAGTCATGAGGAAGTGCAAGGTAATAGTCAATGACACAAGTGAATATATCCATACATCATTATGACCCATAATGCCTACACAGAGGTATGTGGCCTCATGCAGTGTGCAAACCTAAACCCCCACCATCAACCAAAACAAATAAATCTGTGACCCATAAGATTCCACCTATTGCCAGTACTCCAGGGTAAAATTACCAACATCACAAGCCAAGGTGAGAGGCTGTATCCAATGATAGTGTTAATAGAAAACCTCTGGTGAGTCATCTGTTCCCATATCTTATGTATTGAATGTGAATAGCATTTATGTATGGACATGGTATTCCTGGTACTCACATGAAACTGTAGATCAAGGGATGTCAAATCCCCCCACAATTTCAGAAATGGAATTTTCCATCTTTTTATCACCCACTATCATATTCCATTTGAACTACGATTATTCACATTATCTTATTCACATTAGCAGTCTAACCAGTGTTCAACTGACTTACCAGATGTCTGTGTATACTGTTCTGGACATTTCCATGACATCAAGATATTGTGGCACTACCCACCATTACCATTATATACTGTTATTCCATGACTTTTGCCATGTCAGTGTGTATAATAAACAAAATTAAATCTTATCAGTAAACAAAAGAATACATTTGATTCCAGTGTCATTTTCCTAGAATTATCATTTATAAATTGAACAAGGAATTTGAAAATAAAACAGACTTAATGCCTTTCTCAGGACCTTTCATAATCTAAACATTTTGGTAAAATTTGCATACTGATTGATAAAAACTTTAAATTGTCATATACAAAAATTCCCGAGAAAAAAAACAAAAAAAAAAAAAACACCCTCATTAAAACAAGAGTAATTATAGGGTACTCATCAGTTTACATGGGAAGGAAATTTGTACCAAATTAAAGCTTTGAAAAAAAACTATCAAATCAGAAACACACTTCTTCAAAGAGCTTGCGGTCTGCCATGAGACGTTTTGAAGCCAACGACTTGATAACATGATGCAGTACGAGGAGAGATCGTTCTTGCAGCAATCGATCATTGCAGCGTACCACCTGCAGCAAAGTGGGGATCAGCTCAGGCCAGTACCGCGGACAGTCCATGCGAGCAATCTTGCCAATCAGCACAGCCAGTTGGGTGGCCACCTGTACAAGAAAAAATTAAAAAAAAATAAAAATTGAAAAGCATAAGAAAAAAGTATACCTATTCACTTGCTCAAAGAAACATTCTTAAAACAAGAAACTCTTGTAAAATCAAGAATCTCTACCTCTCTTGAAATTAAACAAAAAAAGATTAGTTGCAATTTTCAAACATTGTTATGGTCAAGACCCAACATCTTATCATCCATCCCGTCTACATGTATTTCTGTCAATTATCTTTAGTCTTGTCAAGGATTTATAAATGCTACATTGGTTAGATCAATGTAATTTTTTTTTTTTTTTTTAAAGACTTATTACCCTCAAGCATATTTTATTAAAGAATTGGGATTGTAAAGAGTCGCACAAACCAATCAAGTGAAGAAAATTTTATAAAATGTGTTCCATAAAGTTGCTACAAATTTGAAAACTGATGTTAAAATCAATGGGGAGAAGAGTAATAGATTTGTATTAGGAATAATCAGTATATATTTAAGAATCTTTTTTTAAGTCCTTTTATTACATAAAAATACCTTATGTTCTTCAACTTTAAGATATTGATGGCTAAATATTAATCAATGTGACCTTTAGATCCAAATCAAAATTAATCCCATATTTAATGAGAAAATGATCTACTAAATCAACTATGAAAAATGTCAGAAACGTTTTAGAGATGGACTTAAATAAAAATTTTTTTAAAATCTCAACCTCATTAAAATGGTTTTATTTTATACTAGCTTAAAAAGGCACCCTATCAAGTCTGTTAGTCTTTGCATATTCTCAGCTTTGGAAGTTCTCCTGGCTGCCATTTGATCTGGTTTTTATTTGCAGGAGACTTTCTTTTCCTCAATACAGCCTTGTCTCTCGATTGCAATCTGGTCCTGTCTTGACAGAAATTTCTTTTTGCAAAGGCATACTGCTGTCATATGTGATAGACAACAATAACTACAGAACTCAAAATTGCATTTAAGTATTGTATTAATAATTAAGCTTACCTTTTTAAAGATAAACGATAATTCTTCTGCTGCCACTTAATTTAAAGATAATTTGATATATGTAATTCCTTACTTTCCATACAAACATTTTTTATAACTCATGGGGACTTTTCTTGGATTTCGCAATTAATTTCAATTATTCCCAAAATTTATTTCCAATTTATAAAAATTGTTATCGTACAAAAAGAATTTGTTGCATAAAAAAAAAAAAAAAAAAAAAAAAAAAAAAAAATCAAAATCAATTGCAGTAATGAAAACTTGGGAATTCAAAATTTCTGTAACATGATCTATTGAAAGTTAGTTGTGACCCTTTAATTGAAAAAGTGGGACATGACGACATAGTGACATTCATTTATTATATAGATTAAAAAATAAAAAATACTCTTAAAAGTGATTGTATTTTAATGAAAGATTAATTAGGTTTGTTAATAAATAAAATTTAAGAAATTTTTATATTTATCAATTATGCTTTAAGACAGACAAAAATTCACATCTATAAAATGTGCAGTATTTGTAACCCTTTTCAGAGTGCACAGATATTGCACTAATCTTAGGCAGAAGATTCCATACATCAGTTTTTTTTTGTTTTTTTAAATGGATAATAGACTATTAAAAAATAAAAATAAAAATAAATATCAAGTGATTCTGCATTCTCAATGACTCCCATCCACCCCCAATAAAGTTCAATCAGCAAAGTGTAACCTTTAGACATGCAAAGAAAACTGTTGTCAAAAGAACAGTTAGCATAATTGAATGTAGTCTTTTTTTTTGTGTTTTTTTTTTTTTTTAATTTTCTTAGCCTTTTTAAAGAAAGTTTTCTGAAGGTCAGAATTTTCAATTTTTTATAATTTATTGTATCATACTACAGTTTGAGGGGTTCTTAATTTTTCTGTCTAATTCTGTAGTACATTGGGGAAAAATTAAGGGGTTGCTTCATAGCAAAGTAATTACTTTGTTAATCTCTTGAACTATTGCCAGTGGATTTGTTGCTCAAGAGATGTTCCATAAATCTTACCTAATGATAAATTTGTGAAAAACAAAGATCCAAAGGAAGCATTAGGAATATCCAATGCCAAGCTGAATCCTATAAGTGCAGGTGAAAGTTTCAAACAACTCTTTAATTTTTTTGATTTTTTTATTGACAAAAAATAAATAAAAACAACATTCTAATCAATATATAATTTCTGTTTTATAAACACTAGAGTATTTTTGCTTAGTGGAAATAGTAAAAAAAATTTTTTTTTTTTTTAATCAGTTAGCCTTCAATTAAGGCTTCAAACTTTTTCATTTTTGTTTTTTTAAACACATTTTTAAAACTTAGGTATCGAGAATTAGTGGAGGCATCTACCACAATTAAAAATAAAATGAGAAAAGAAAACTAATTTCAAATGTAAATGAAATAAAAATAATTAAACTAAATATTAAGTTTAAAATGAAATAAAGGGTTACCTCTCAAACGTTTTTTTTATCAAAATATAACTTACAAAAAAGAATAAAAGAAACTTAAAAATAAAAAATAAATTATTTTTTTTATGAGCGTAAGGGGGACAATCTGAAAATTGTGACCTAACAATGATGAAACATATTTAACAAGAAAAAAAAAAAAAAAAAAAATTAGATAAGCAAAAAATATATTTTTAATTATTTTAAAAATTCTTGGTGGGATGATTTGTATTAAGCTTTTCAATTTTCGTTTCGTAAACAGTCATAACTTAATAACCTAACTTTACCGATGTTTGGAAGATTTTTTTCTTTAAATTTGAAACATTATAATTAAAAAAAATGTAAACAATTCTTGTAAAAATTCATTATTCAAAAAATTTTTTTCTTCAGACTATGTCCTTAATATATTATTTATAGAAGCAATTAAAAGCCTATCTAATTAAATAATTAGATTTATTTTACGATTTCGAGTAGATTTTAGAAAAAGTTGATGATTTACATTGCCCAAGATGTCCTGTTTTAACTAATAAAAACATTCGTTGGTGATTTTAAATTCTACTTTATGAAATTAATTGAGGGGGAGTTAACAGATGGAGGAAAAAAAAAAAATTTTTTTTACCAAGATTTTCTAAAAATAATTTCAAAAATAAATTCATTCATTTGTGAATAAGTCCTGAAAGTTTCATTAAAATCTGACATTTGATTTTTTCAAAAATTTCAAAATTATTTTCACCAGAAATGGCAGCACAAAAATGTCCATTATCAGCTGTTACATCATACATCAACGACCAAAAAAAAAAAAAAAAAAAAAAAAAAAAATAAGCACAGATTTCGAACGTGTTAGAAAGGAGTAAAAAAATTTTAACAAATAATTAAAAAACACTTTAGTCTTTCCTCTTAATAATAAACATTTTGGTGATAAAACTTTGCTTTTATTACATTTGGTGTCTCTTTTTTTTCATCATGCCTCATTTTTCATCAAATTATTGGAAGTACCTATATTCAAGGGACTTTTGTACATACCTAATAATATTCAATGATAAATGTCAGAAGTTGGCTTCTCTATTTCTCTCACTACAAAGAATGAGCAAGATAACAATTCTAGTAAGCACACACATCTTTTAATAATATTTTTGGTCTGCTCATTTTATACATTCTGAAAACTTATGTAACTACTTAAGAGCAAATGGCATTTCAAATCCCCCTCACAAAAATAAATGTATTCTTCAAAATAAAAGAATAATGAACTCCTTTGTAAATCACATCTTTTAAGCTTATATATGTAAAAGTAGAACTGCCTGTATATGTTTAGTATTAGAACTATAAACTTACCTGAGGCACCGGTTCATTAAAGCTATCAACAAGGCGTTTCTTCAACGCATCTTTTTCTTCTTCAGCAATGGCACTGAAATGAACGCAAGGAAAAATTTTAAGAGCATACAATATTCCTGAATTACAAAACAAACACAATACTTTTACATCATAAATGATGTTTTCAAATCCTAAAAATGTTTTATAAACAACAGGGGAAATTAAACAGGTAAACGTAGTAAACCTGAATTATAAATTTATTAAAAAATAAATAATTCAAAAGCTACAATAATTATGTTTAGAATTTGTAAGTGTCCTTAAAAAATTTCTCAGTTTAATACATTCAATTAGAAATAAAATAAAAAGTACCTTTATTTTATGTTTACATGACTAACAAAAATCATTTTCCCTTGGCAGTGATAAAACAAATGTATACATTAACTTGTTAGAGTAAAATACAATGGGGTGCTGGAAAGTTCTCATACCAATACACTTACCAAAATATGATCAATTGACAAAACCTCAACATTCTTTTGGAAACCATTTTTAGTTCAGGTAAAAACGTTTCCATAACCCCACCCCATAATAAACCATCTGCCAAAAAAAAAAAAAAAAAAAAAAAAAAAAAACTTTTCTAAATTGTATTTTTAGTAATTACTATCGGAATAACCAAACATTACCTGTAATCATTACTACATTTACTGCAACCTATTATTGCTGCTTTTTATTACATTGGATTACATACTTAAACCACAAAAGAGACCTCAAAATAAAATAAAAATGTAGCTTCTAGCAAGATATCACTTTTTATTTTAACAGTTGATAAATTTCCTAATTATTTCAACAGAAACTTAAAATTATTGAAATATAACCAATAGTATAATACAAATGCAGATCTTACACTGAAGATAGTCAATTTAATATATATTTTGACAATATTCAGTGCTGTGAACTCATTCTATGAGAATTTACAGATGTCATAAGACATTAAATTTTACTTTGAACTACATTATTGGAAGTAGGTTAAATATACTTTTCAAATATTTTAACCATAATCCTAAACAAAAATATCAAAATACAGTTAATTTTCTTTATTTACATTTGTTCAGCTTGTAGTTTATCTTTAAGGAGAAAGTTAAGCTGAATCAAAACCAAGAAAACTGCTACAGTTAAACACCTTGAAAGTATTATATGTAAATAAAGGAATATCAAGTGTGATGATTATAGAAAAATAAAAATAGCATTATAAAATGCAATGGGTATTCATAAAAAGAATTACATTTTTAGAGAAAGCAGAATAAATTTCATCAGTTACAATTTTTATATAACAATATCTTTACAATAAGCACAGAGAAAATTAAACCAGTCCAAAATTTTGGTTTGGTTTACGACATATCAACGTCAATTGGTTATTTAATGCCAACAATTTTCATAGCTGGTAATATCTTTTTTTTTCCTCAAAACTGTATTGCTGGTAATAATTTTTTTTTTTTTTTAACAAAGTATTAAAACCTATTTTTATACTTTCATAGTTTAGGTGGGGGTAACTATTTGCCCATAGCTGGGACCCTAACAGGTGCTACCACACCAGATCAGGGTGAACCTGGGAACACCAGAAATTAAGAGGTGGTTCCATGCTCCTGAAAATCTCCTGATCAGAGGCCTTACTGTCAGTCGCAGTTTCTTACCCAGGATACAGATGCAGTTTATCATAATATCCAGGACAGTCGAAATTTTGGACTAATATCATCAACCCCTACAATTTAATCTAAATAAAAACATGCTGCTATTTATTTGTTTTTTAAAGAGGTCACTTCAGAAAAAGTGAAAACAGTTGCAATCCAAAAGTGCATACTACCATTTCTATAAAAAAAAGTAAAAGTAAAAAAAATATTCTGAGGCATCTTTACTCACTTTGGGGCATTCCTTCGCCAGTAACGCTCAATGCCATTTTTAAAATATAATACAGCCAACCATCGAACATTAAAATCAATGTCATGATTCTGGAAGATGGTCTGAAAGGAAAAAGGAAAAAATTTGACATTAAAATTCTAATTCTTTTCAGAATGTCTAGAAAATGTTCTTAGATGTACACTGAAATCTTAAATGAAGATTTTTTTTTTAACATGGGCAAGAATTAAAAAGCCAGTATCATTTTTTTTTTGTTTTGATGATAATTATCATCATTAATGATTAAGGAACAATACTATACTTTTGTCTCCTTTCACTTGTCTACCAAAATGCAGAACATGCTCATTTGCCAACATTCTCATTGGTTACTATTTTTTTTTTATTTTTCTGTTTGTTTCATCATCTGATGATCAGCTCTTAGTTAAGGGAACATTTTCACATTAACTCCATTTTTAGAGAAAACACCTGAATCTACACACAGTCAGGTCTCAACTCTAACAGGGCAGATAAATATTCAAAGCAATCTCATTAGGTATTCCACCACCCTCATAATCTATTGATTCAAAATAAATCAAGAATTACTAGGTAAATTGTTAACTTAAAGAGTTATAGAACAAAAAAACTTAAAAAGTTTAAAAATGTTCAAATTTGAAAAAATTAACATTCATTTTTATGAGGAAAAAAAATAAATCGTTTCATCATATAAGCTGGCCACAGCTCAACAATAGCTCCAATCTCTGACTATTTCAAGATATTGAATAAAACTGAACACTATGCTCAAAATAGTTTTAGATCATTTCAGCTAAAATATGTAATCTGTGAAATAAAACTCCCATTTCATGACAATCCTTCAATACACAGGTTTACAAGCAAAATATTTTAAATTTCCATCAGTAATAGTAAAATGTAAGATATATTGCAACGTATTTGATAACCAAAAAGTAAAAAAAATAGAAAACCCATACATAGAACAGGTTTTAAAAAGGGTGAAAAATTATTGAAAAATGTAATAATTACTATTAGCTGAAAAATAATAATGGCAAACAATGCTTCAACATAAAAAGCAAAAATAATACTCCTGACTATAACAATTTAAGTTACAATGGTTTCTACATTTGCATTCTGTCACAACTCAGCTTATTGTCTTCATACATTTCAGCCAGTTTACATTTCAATTTTTTTTCTACTATTTAGAATCTTACAAAATTATCAGAAAGGGTAAAAATAATTGCACACATCTGAAATCATAAATTTCCTACTTTCAAAAATGTTAATACACCATCCAAATAACATTTGATATTACTGCCTCCAGACTTATTTTCTACAATTGAATTAGTTCACTGCCATAGAAATGAGAAAAAAAAAAAAAAAAAAAAAAAGAATATTGCTTGTATGCTATTTAAGCACTTACTGTGTGTGTGTGTGTGTGTGTGGTGAGTGTGTATATGTGTGTAAACAGACAAATAATGACTGCAACTATTTAGAGTAATGCCATCACTTGATTGATTCTTAAATACAGGCAGCATGGGTGCAGTTTTCTATTCCTGCTAGGAAATTACACACTTGCACAAATGTGGCAATATTGAACACCTCTTGCAGGTATTACAGTAATATCCTGGTGAACTTGCATATGAGGTTTTAACCCACCAACTGCAGTATTCTTTTCCATGGTACAGTACAGGACATCTAACATGTAGTTAATGACCTTTCTCTCATACATTCATACAGGGTTATTAAAAAAAGAATGAACTGATTTCATTACGCAATATTTTAATAAGAAAAAGCAATCGAAACTCCAGCCAAGTCATAAGTATTCTACTTACAATCAACTTTTATTTTAGTTTAATATGGCCATCACCTGCAGCACAAGCAACATCAATGCAATAAGACCCGTATTAGCATATCACGATTCAATGAATTGATCACTGTTATCCAATGTTTAAGGTCAGAGGTTAATGGGTAGTGATGGAACATAAAAGATCTTTCACGTATCTCCACAAGAAGAAGAGAGATTGGGGGTGTATAAGTGTGTGTGGGGGGGGGGGTATCACACAGTGAGGTCTGGGGATCTCGCAAGCCAAGCATAAAGAGCAAGGCCTTGGTAAGCGCCTGAACGAGGCAGAGTTTGTAAGGTTTCAAATATAGACATCTTAGCACATGCCAGATAATGGATTGAGTGATCGCAAGCTCATGGTTAGCTCGATTTGTGGACTTCCATGGACTCCCTTCAAACACAACACAGATTCTCATTACTTGTTCCTCCAAAACACATGGTCATCCTGCACTTTTTCCTCTACACAGACACCCACTCTCAAATTTGTTTAGACTGCAGTCAAAGATTTTTAGGAGAGGGCAGAGTAATGTCAAATTGCCTTCGAAAAACACACTGCACTATGACAACCATATTTGTTTGTGTGAACTAGAGAATGCAGAATGCCTTTTGCTGTGAACTTGCCATTCCTGGGGTAAACAAACAACTGAATGTCGCCAGAGATACAACTACAGCGCCCTATGGTAGCCATTCAAAGCTTAGAAAACTCTTTCAAATTGTCACTAACACATTCCATGACAATGCTTGAGAACTGAAGCAATGTGTCATGAAATCAATTCATTCTTTTTGAATAACACATTTTTTTTTTTGAAGCCTGCCTTAGACATGACTACATTTATTATACCTCAGATCAAACTGTACCAACATACTCAGATTAACATCAAAACCCTTCCAAACAGAATTTTTCAAGCTTGACAATTCTATTCAAATTTTTTTTACCATTGTACACTGCTTTCCTCCAGAAGGAAGATCTAGAGCAAGATTCTCCCAGTCATTTTACAAGATGTCAGCCTTCTCCAATGCGTTTTTTACTGCAACCTTTATACCGCGATTTCAGATTGTGCTTTGGTCTTTTCCTCACTCAGCCAACTCACTGTACAGAAATTGCATTGAGAGTCAATTGTTCTTCATCCTGACCACTCCATTGTAACCATTGAAGTTTCAGAGAATCTATACTGGGAGAGCTACTGCGCTCAAGACTGTCAATGTCACCAGTGTTGGTGAAAGTGCTCCAGATTTTACATGCATCTCCATTAAGTGATACATCTTACATATAATGAAGACAAAATATAGTAGATATTCAACTTAGTCTCAATTGTAATTCTATACAGAGATCATAGACATTCATTCAATTTTTGAATGCACTACTTGCCTTCATGATTCAGAGAAAGTTTCCACCTTAAGAGTATTTGTTATATTTATACTAAGTGCAAGTTGCAAAGCAGTTTATGTATTTAGGCAATACATGAACCATCTTGCAACCTGAAATTTGACACATGTAAATACTCGTCTCAGAGTTGGCTTTACCTGGAACAGGTTGGTACATTAGTGATCATCTTCAGACTAATTATTAGATTCAATGCCTTCAAGAAGAAATCACTCTGGGTAAGATGTTGTTTACAAGCACATCAATGGGTAATTTCATGCCAAAGTAGGTAGTTCTCACATCAAGTATTTTTAATCATTTTTATTTTATTCCATGACTGTTTTGTAAACGTTTTTTTTGGGGGAGGGGGGGTCTTTTTTTTTTTCTTCTTTTTGTGTGTTGTATCTACAAGGAAATCACTCTGGGAGCAAGCAGCAAGATCACAATCATTAGCAAACAGGAAATTGTGTAGGAGTGATGACAATAGTATTGTTTTAGCAGTAAACCATCTTATATTCATCATTATACCCATTGTTCAAAATTGAACCAGAGAGCTTACCACTTATGTTCATATGTACTTCTGTGGTGCACGCGCATCAGTACCCACACAAAAGAGTTCTAGAGTCATGTGCAGACAGGTCTATGAAAACTAGTTTCATACAGGTTTTCCTGTTAGCAATAGGACAGCTTGGCATGTCCAAATATGGGTCTTTGTCAACTGACTCATATCAATAAAAGTGAATGGAAACCTCTAAGAACAGAGACAAACTTATCAGGACATTATTCATTTTTCCTATAATTGCCCCCACCCCATATTCATCTGTCTGGCAGGATCTCCCTTGCATTAATCCACCGAAATCATCCTCCTATTTATAGAGAGCCAGCATCAGCCTATCTTTCTAACCATCTGGTATACTGATTTCTAGGCAAACCTTTTGTTTTTAGTTAAATGCTGAACCAGATTTTCACATTTCAAAAAGATAACATCAATATCAGGACACTTAACACCTTTTTTTTTTTTTTATATCATTTTCAACTTCTCAAAAGGAAGGTGTTCTTTGTGGGACAGCAGGGATTCAAGTTAATTCACTATTTTGAATTTCTGAGTAATTCTTTGCCAACCAGTGTTTGTAGAAGATTAATGGAAAAAGGGGGCCTATAAACTTCCCACAAGTTATATAGAAGATTTGTAATGTTGGAATCAGATGCAGATTGAATCTGATCTGCATTATTCTTCACCAAGCATCTTATATATTATAGAGTCAATGCTGTACCTTAAACAGCACCACCTTGTATAGAGTTCCATTCTTACTCCATTCCAGGTTCTCCTCCAACCATTTATTAGCAATACATTCTTTTCATTTAATAGCATCTGAGCCTCTTCATCATTTCAAATCAGTCAATGTTTTCTTTCTAAACTTAGAGATATCATAAATAAATGATTTCAACTTTCCCTACAAGTCATTGCATTGAACGTCACCCATTCTCTTCTCCTTAATGACATCCTTCAGACATGTCCCATACAATTTCTGTGGAACAGTAAGACCCTTCACAAAAGCATGAACAAGATGTGTCCATATATATGTGTGTGTGATAAAACAAAAAACTTCTTTGTGACAGGTTTTGTTCCGAGAAAGAACATTAATAATGGTCTAATTGATGGAGTTTATATATATATATATATATATATATATATATATAGCTAGTTCTGTCGGTAATAAATTTAGTTATAAACTTTGGCTTTCAATTGTTCCAAGAATATTTTTTATTATGACACAGAAGAGACTTTAAACTTCCAGAACAAATTTAAAAAAAAAAAAAAGAAAAAAAAAGTGTCCTATCATCTACACCAGCTCAACATTACTTGTATGTCTACTGCAATGATTTCTAGTCAAGCAGGCAATAAA